ATGGATTTTTTAGGCCCGGCCATTGCGTGTGTTGTGCGATGACGCGGTGGTCAGGTGTTGCCTCATATATCGAGGGGAGCTGTCCAAGTGCTGAAAACAGAAGAGATCAGCACCGCTCCTGAGGAGATGCCATACACCTTCACTGCTGTCTGAGCTTCATAGCCAAAGGTAAGACGCGTATATTTATTGTTTAATTATTTTACCACTTCAAATGAATATCAGTTTGTCTTAGATTGCAGTATATTGTTTTTTGTGCATTCGCTCTGTGCAGATCTCGACATGTTATGTTAGACAGGGGGTTACCATTGTGATGAAACGCATCCTCAACAATCGATGATTACAATGCGCTGTTGCTACAGCGAATTATTGAGGATTTTTAATGAAGGTTTGTGCGTGTTAACGGGGAATCGGATGTTGAGGTTGCCAATAACAACGCGGGGAATGACTCATCCAGTGATGTGAATGTATCTCCTCACGCACACCATCGTCTCATTCAATTTGCGGAGCGTAACTCCCTGATAGACACACAAATCCCGGATAAAAACACACTCGCGCACGCTTTTACGCGTCGCTTTCGAGTAAGTTTTTCGCCAAAATAATAAGAAAAAAGAGATCCTGGTTGATTTTGGTGTATTTTGTTTTTCACTTGCTTTACTGATGTTGTGCTCTCTTGGTTTTGCAGGTAATAAATTGCCTATAATGCTGCATTTCCACCACAAGTTGCCCGCGGGGGGAGCCGTGGTCCTGCTCGCCTTCCTCCTCCATGGATGCGCCGTGCAGGCTGCGTCTCTCCCCCGCCACTACAGGCTCCGAGGCGGGGAGAGTGAGGGGCAGCCGGCTGCTTACCCACCCAGCTCCGACATGATCAAAGCCCTGGAGTACATTGAGAACCTGAAGCAGCGGAACGGGGGCCGACCTGAACCCGTGGATTATGACGAAGTGGACAAGTTCAGGGTGCTGCTTCAGCTCGCCTCGCAGCAGGACGAGAGCCCCGGGGACCGTCAGCCTGCCCCCGGCATGCAGAGGCAGGACATTACCGCTGAGCAGCTGCTGAAAGCCCTGCTCAAGTCTCTCCAGGATCGTGCCGGGAAGGAGGCGAAGCTCAGCCCCGTCTCGGCGGCCAGGAACGACCGCCGCACGCACAGGCACCGCACCAAAGAAACTGAAGTCCCCGAGAGCGCACCGGCAGACTACGGTAATTTCCCCAGACCCCACAAGAAATACCCGCTGATGTTTGAGGACGAGGAGAACACAGACGCTTCCAAGCGGGCCACAGAGGACCTGGACGAGCAGTACACGCCCCAGAGCCTCGCCAATTTACGCTCCATCTTTGAAGAGCTGGGGAGGATGCCCACCATCGCCGGCCAGAAGAGAGACGTGTTCGGGGACGACGATGATGAGGAAGAGGACGGGTTCAGCCTGAGGAGCCAGGCCTACGAGGACGTGGCCGGAGGAGAGGAGTGGGTGCCCGTGGAGGAGAGGGAGGAGACTGAGGAGATGGTGAACGGGAGCCACGAAGAGATGGACAGGGCGCTCGGTGAGCAGGAGGAAGCAGAGAGGGAGGAGATGCAACGCCGGGCGAACCAAGAGGAGGCTGATGATGACACCAAGCTGGTTGATTACTACCTGTTGAAGGTGCTGGAGATGAGCGACCAGACGCAGAAGCGGGATAAGACCGGGGAGCAGAGGAAGAGGCTGATCCGTCCCTCCATCGTGGATCCCCGAACTGTAAAGGAGCTGCTCCAGCTCTCCCTGAAGCTCCACGTCCCTCCACAGGACCTTATCGATATGCTGCTCACAGAGGAGCTCAGGAAGCTCCACCGTGAACCCCAGACTTCAACTCGCTACACCACCGGCACGACCCCAAAGATCAGGTACTACAGCCGCAGACTCCCGCTGAAGAGCAAGCCCGCCGCCGCTCCTGATGACATGGACAGAGAGGACTTTCTAGACATCATCGGCGTGGAGACGATCAGCAACGAGTACCCCGTGGTGCAGAGACCCATGAAGACCTCTCCATCCTCGGACAGGATCCCAGTGGCGTCCAATCCTGTTGCAAATTCAGGCCCGGTTAAAATCCCTCCTCCCTCCGGGCGCAGGGAGAATCTCTTTTTATCCGAGCTCAACAAAATGCCCCTGAAACGTCAGGCTGATGTCGCAGATGATGAAGATGACGACGGCGACGTGGAAGACGAGGTGACCACCTACCTGGCGGCCAAAATCCTCACAGAGTACCCCAACACCATCACCAAGCGGGACACCCAGGCGCAGCTGAAGGGACAGTTCCCCTACGAGCTGTACGAGCGCGTCATGAAGGACTACTTGGGTCAAGCGGACGCTGAAAAGAGGCCAGTGTCGAAGAGGGAAACCGAGGTGGCCACAGAGGAGAAAGTTGAGCCCACAGAGATGCAGGGGAGAGAGGAGCTCACGGCCAAGACCTCGGCTCCACAGACCGTAAACGAAGAGGAGGAGAAGGAGCACCGTGAGAAAACAGCGGCTGCGATGTAGCCCGGCGCCCCAAGACGCACGAAATTATGAATATAGTATTTATACTGTCTCAAAAATAAAGTTTGGTGGACGTGATCTAGTTTACAGATTTCTATCATATGAACTATAGCTGGTAATATCACCCTAACGAAAATGAACTATAGCAATCTTACAGGTTCGAAAACATTTTTAAAACAAGTCCCTATACTTGCTGCAAGAACATTATAGAAATATTATATTGATATCGTAGATTAAAGGTGCAATCCGTGCATCAACAAAAACACAACAAAAGTATCCTCGTTTGATTTGTCACTCTCAGATTGCCAGTTATATCAAATCACAATGAAATCCAACTTATTAAAGTTTTGTGATGTTGTTGACGGTTTGTTTACGTTAATGGTGTTTGTAAACAGGCCTATATTTTCAATTATAATCAGCAGAGTGATGGTAAAAACGCTTATTTTTCATCTATGTCAAACTATTCGATTGCATATGTTAATATATATATCTGTAAATGATAAAGTATAATGCTGACTGGGCCTTTAAACACACACAGTATGGTGACAGGAGTACTATAGGAATATTATAGGGACTTTTCGTTAGGGCAGCGTGCTGGGCTGAGAACGAGTGTTGTTGTGACTCGTGATATATTCAGGGTTAGTGGATTTAATGTTATTATTACTATTATTATGGATAATTATTTCCAAGTCTAAATATCAGACCGTCGCCTGCCTTCCAACCCTTTCATACTACGAAGCTCTGTATTTGTTGGCCTACCAGTGGTTGTGCTATGTATGCTCATTTTTAAACCATTTTGTACATGTTCAATAATGTGTGATGAATCACAGATGAATAAAGCATCAGCGGTATTATTTTTCTTCTTGCTGAGTTGTGTTGCCTTATTAAAAATCACACTGTACATGCAAGCAGGGCCGAAGCTAACGTGTCTGGGGCCCTGGGCAAGCTTCCCATGGCGCCCCCACCCCCTAAAAAAAATTATTATTATTATTATGTTTTATGAGTAAAAAAAAAGTGCGACTGGCCAGCTCACTCAGCAAACAGTCCAAAAATACATCCAAGGCACTCTGACTGTAGTTAAACATCCTTTACTAATACATGGATAAACAAACGCATTTCGACTAGAGCAAGGGTGTCAAACACACGGCCCAGGGGCCAGAACCGCCCGCCAAAGGGTCCAATCTGGCCCACTAGATGACTTTGCATGACTAATGTTGGTGCACGTGTGAAGGTTGAGAGGTTTCACAATGAATACTTCCTGATACGAGGACATCACATTTTGGATTTTCTTGACCTTATACTTCATTCTGCGTAACTTAGACCTGTTGTCCTCGTTCGTGGACACTTTTTGTGCCGTCTAGTGGTAGTAAGAGCACATTACATTAATCTATGTAAAAACATGATGGCAGCCATCTCTGCCAAGTCAGTCTGCAGCCAATCCCGACACAAAAGTGGACAAAACCTGATCAAGTTTATGGCTGAATCTTGTTTGTTTATGATTAATAGCATTTGCAGTTTGATATGGCAAAAATTTGACCAACTTTAGCAACAGTAAGTACTCAATTGAAGACAGTGGGACTTAATTCTTGTTGACAATGTTTGGGTTTTTGTTCCTATCAGGTCTGACTGATCCCAAATAGCTAGGAGAAATTAAAAATGCAAACCATGCAAAAGTTCGGGTCTCAGGAGGTTGTTGAACATTGTGTATAATATTGTCAACCAGCAGCTTCAGTACAAAACAATCTCTGTCAGACTTCTATCTTAAAGCAATATGGGTGGCACCCTGCTGCTGAGGAACTGACAAAACTTCAGGTTGTAAATGGTTTGTAAGGAAGCAGATGACTTCACCTGCTTCTACTTTAGGGGTAAATTATGAAAAAATTGCACATGTAGTGACAGTGAGTAGTCGACTGACTGAATGTGGAAAAACTGAGACATACTGTTGAGTTTGCACAGATTTTTCTGAGGATATTGCAGGCTGTTCATCATGTATTTTGTAAATGGATGAACATTTTCAGAATGGACCTCTTTACACTAAAAAAAAAAATTAATGGGTTGTTATTTATAGGTTATTATGCAGTGGTTTCACAGGTCCGGCCCACTTGCAATCAAATTGAGCTGTATGTGGCCCCTGAACTAAAATGAGCTTGACACCCCTGCATTAGAAAGTCTTCATTAGGGTGTAAAATGCATTGGAAGCAGGTGTGCAACTTAAGAGCTCATGTAGGAACTGTGTGACACAGGTCACATGATACAATATATTGGTCAACTACTGGACAAAAAAACCCAACATACAGTATATGACAGGAGTCAGACCACCACCTCCAGAGGGGTCTGAGGTCTCTTGGCGTGTTCAAATATGCTCAAAAAATGCTGAGTCACTGCTTTGAGTCCGTTTAGAGGGCTGAAAAGGACCAGGTGTGAAAACAGTGCCACAAGGTTTGGTTAATTTTAGTCACACAATTCTGATGAAAATGATGACTCAAAGCAGACTGTTTTTATCAAAATACACATTTTAATCATACAGAAAGCTCCGACATCACAAATTGCACGATAAAAAAAAAACAGTGATATTGACACCCACACTACCAACTGCTCCTTCTAAAGACTAACGGACCCACACATGTGAAATATACAGATTAAAAACAGTAAGAAATTCATCACAATCAGTCCAGTCTGTTGAAATCTGTTGTTTTTTTTAGACTGTTTTTTTCCAAATATAACTGAAGATTAGCACATTTTCCTCCAAAATCAACTGGTAGTGTCACATCAAATATATTAATACATGATTTAAATATAAACTCAACACATTCACAAACCTAAAATCAGTTTTTACATCCCTGATCCTCTATTACTACTTCATTTACATGACAATAATCAATGTGAAAAAACAACCCTCCCCCTTCCTTCAGTTGAGTGCATGACTCTGAGCAAATATTAGACTCACTCTAAAATGCAGTTACATTGCGGCAAAGCTTCAGGCAGAAGGCGAGATATTCAGTATGTCCCTTTCTTCTTGGGAAAATGTTCAATAGAATCAAAGGAAAGTCCATATCCATATTCAGAAACTTCTTTGACTCATACACAGTACATTTGGTTCCTGTATTCCTCCCCGCTGTTCCTTTATGTGCCATTTCCCTTCTGCAGGGTTAAAATGCAGGTTTGCTCATATACTCTTCCATGGTCTGGAAAAAAAGCACAGAGAGTTTAGTTTAAATGTCAGGTTCTGCTGTTTGTAAAAATGCATTGAAGTACAATAAGTATTCACAGGCACACATCCACACATACCCTGGTATTAAGTTCTGAGCACACCAACTAACACAAGCGGAACATCTAACCTTTCTGTCCATATTCAAGGTCATCCAAACAGCTCCACCTCATACCACTCACTGCTGTCATCCTGAAGCGATAATGGTCAAAATGAATGGGAGGCTACGCTGCACATAATCCAACTCTTGATTAAAAAGTGTTAGTCAGCCCTACTCAGAAGCACAGAACACACCCAGTTAACTAATGTACCACACAGAGCCATGAGCCTACAGGGAGAGCGGGGAAGCATCAGCCAAACACTAAACCTACGTCACGTTCCAGGGAAATCTGTCTCTCACTCGCAATAACACTGGCAGAGAGAGAGAGAGACAGAGGGAGATACACATACACACACACACACACACACACACACACACACACACACACACACACACACACACACACACACACAGAGGGGGGTTGAGGAAAAACAGCAGCACAAACACAAATCTATACAAAAAGGAGCTAATATCCACAAGCCTATAAGCTACAAGAAGGAAAGCCACACCAGGGACTCAGCAGCACCACTGTTAATTGAACTCATTATCACACTAACTACTGAGGACGTTTGCCGGTAATTTCACACACACACAAATGAGCATGTTCCCAAACTGGAGCTTGATTCATGATAAGTGTTATAAAGAACCAATTTCAGGCATCTGGATCCGTCTAAGTACCCCATAGCCGCCGACATTAAAAAACAGACACAATCAACACTAAACTACATCCACATGTCACCCTCCGTCTAAATTTTGTCGAGCCGTGCAACAGATGTTACATGCTCACACCACAGATGCAAACCAGGCTGTGTGTTGTTTTTGTGTTGTGTATGAGAGTGTGTCAGCGCGTCTCACCTCCTGCAACATGTCCGAGGCTTCGATGGAGCGGTTCACCATTTGTTTGGAGGTTTCTTGTATTTCACCGCCCATTAGAAACTCATCCAGGATAAAATAGGCCTTCTCAAAGTTAAAGATTATGTCCAGCTCACACACCTGAGAGGAAGTTAGTGCGATTATTATAAAAACATTGTTTTCTCTTCTACATTAAAACTGCAGTGTGATATGATCTTTACAGCCTAGTTCAGGGGTAGGCAACCTGCTCTTTTGCCCCTCTCCAGTGGCTCCCTGTGGCTTTGGCAGAAACTTATATAGGAAATAATAATGGCTATCCATCCATCCATCCATCCATTTTCATATATTTATCCAGGGCCAGGTCTCAGGGGCAGCAGGCCAAAGCACCCCAGACATCCCTCTCCCCAGCAACACTTTCCAGCTCCTCCTGGGGGACCAGGCGTTCCCAGGCCAGACGAGATATGTAATCCCTCCTGCATGCTCTGGGTCTGCCCCTGGGCCTCCTACCTGTGGGACATACCTGGAACACCTCTAACAGGAGGCGCCCTGGAAGCATCCTGATCAGATGCCCGAACCACCTCCACTTAATAATGGCTGTTTTCTAACATTTTTATTTTCATTTGTCAGCCTATCTCAGCTGACACTAGGCGAGAGGTGGGTTTCACCCTGGACAGGTAACCAGACTATCACAGGGGTGACACATAGAGACAGACAACCAATCACACCTACGGGAAATTTAGAGTCACCAATTAACCTGCATGTCTTTGGACTGTCGGAGAAAGCTGGAGTACCCTTTTACCGCCAACGCTGCAAAGTTAAAAGTACCAAACAATCATAAATAGCCCACTGCAGAGTAGCCACCTTCTGGGAAAACTTATCAATAAAGGCTGATGTAGACCTATTAGTAATGTTAATGGGCAAATCTAGACTTACTGTCACTGTCATTGTAAGGCTCAAATATGTTTTGCAGCTCCAGGCAGATTATTTGAGAGCTTTTGATAGTAAAGGTTGCAGACCCCTGGTCTAGTTCATCGATAAATGCAGTTGATTTAAAGGGGCAGTTCACCCTAAAATCAAAAATGCATATTTTTCCTCTTACCTGTAGAGCTATTTATTGATCTAGATTGTTTTTGGTGTGAGTTGCCAAGTGTTGGAGATATCGTCTGTAGAGATGTCTGCCTTCTCTTGAATATAATGGAACTAGATGGCACTCGGCTTGTGGTGCTCGAAGTATGTCTTGGAAAATGTATCAAACATTAAAGTTTGTGAATGTCACTGTGTACAATAATAGTTATTGTATGAATGTATGATGTATCCACAATGTCCTTTACTGTCTGCATGCAAGCATGTGAGGAGGCTTCAGGGTGTCTGAAGGTTAAGATACTGTAAGATAAAGACCTTGTACATGTTAACACTCTACTGTTAAGCAGATCAGTATGACATGCGACACACACTATATAAGGCTGGATCATTGTTATGTTACTTCAATCTGATTTGATTTGTGTTGTATTAAGAAATCACAACCTGGTTGCTGAAGTTAATTCACAGATTTTGTTGTGAGCAGTCTCATGTAGGAACTATTTTCTTTCTATCGAACTACACCCGCCAACTGTAACGCCGTGCAGAAGGAAGCGAGCATCTACTGAGCTAGCTCACCTAGCACCACGGAGCTAGTTACAGCTCAGGAGGAGGACGCAATTAATGTTTACATCTCCCATCTCTTTTTTGAGCACTTTAAAGACCCAAACGCTGGAGTGAAGGCAGACATCTCTACTGCCGAAATCTCCAACACTTGGCAACTCACTCAGGATTAATCTATATTTATAAACAGCACTACAGGTTCCCTTTAAGCTACCATCATATTTCGACAGCTACACTTCAGGCTGCAGTTGCATATTGAATTAAAGAGGATGAAACTCAATTAAATACATTGCCAAAGTATTTGTCCAGCAGCTCCACATAACGATGAATAACCTCCAAGGCTATCAGCTCATTCTCCTGGTTCTCAATGGCCAAGCAGAAATACAAGCTTGCATACCTGAGGAAAGAGTGACACAGTGATTACTTGCAGCTGATATCAATACATAGAGGAATTATAAGTTATATATACAGCATGTTTAACTTTGAGTAGACAAGAGACTGGGGTTCTTGCTGCTTAAAGGACTAGTTTGTAGGATTTAGTGGCATCTAGAGGTTACAGATTGCACCATCTCTCTGCCCTTCCATGCGCATGCGAGAAAAGCCTGAGGCAGAGAAAGCAAACCGCCCTGCCCTTCCATGCGCCTCCATAGAAATCCTGAGGCAGGGAGAGCAGCAGCAAAGACCCCCTGGAAACAGAGCAGAGCAGCATCAATGACAAACAGAAATGACATTGATAAGTCAGACACTCCATGAAAAGGAGGAGCTGGGGTGGAGGTGGGTTGCAAAGCAGCTTGCAGAGGAAGCAGCAACAGTAGGCAGGCCAGAGCAGTTTAAACAGGGCACCCTGAATGAGATTTGCCAACTGGTTGCGTAGAAAGGAATCATGCGATCTATCAGCAGACTCCCCTCCATCAATCAGCTGATCAGGCTGCTTGAGATCAGCTGAGGTAGCTGGGATGCTATGCTCAATTTATTAATATTACACTCCATTTCTGCCAATAGATCCCCCTAACTCCTACACACTGGACCTTTAAGAAGCAGATAAATGAATTTAAACTAGTTGAACAAACATGCCAGGGGCAGCACCCACCTCTTGTAAATAATCTTCAGGTCTTTCCAGTGCAGGAAGTTACAGGAGCGTGGTTGCCGTCCCAACACCATCGTGGTCATGTCCCTGGTGATCTTCTTCTTCTCACGTTCTGACATGGGCGTGAACCATTTCTGCAGACGCAGCTTCCCCTGGCGACTGAAGAGCAGCAGGAAGCGCATCTAACGACACAAACACACCGCAGGGTCAGAGGGGCAACCGTGATGCACGCATGAACCAAGGAGCTAACTTGTATTTGCAAATACCCACTCATGTCTGCACAGACGTGAGTCACTGCAGAGGACACTGAGTGCCCTCACACACACAAACCAAGGGTCAAACAAGAGGTGTGCTGTTGTCACGGCTCATTAAAGAGTAACTCCACTGACCAAACAAATCACGAGAGGAGGAAAAAATGTGAAGGTCAACATACGATTTAGGAAGAGGTGGTTGGTGTTGGTGGCGTTTCCTTTACGATTTTCAAAAGAGCAAAAAGAGTTCGGGTTCGGATGTTTACAGAGTGTGCTTCCTAGCTTTGGAAATAGATTTGGCTACAAATCAAAATGGACATTAATTTCCCCCCATCTCTCTTGGAGCCACACTGACACACAGCTTCCTTTAGGTCTTCCTCTCATTGTTGGTGTAAGAGAGGCTATTAGACAACACATTACTCCAGCTTTAATGACCTTACACTGGCTGCACATTTGGTTTAGGTTTGATGTTAAGATTTTCCAACCTTAAAGTCCTTCATGGCCTGGTCTCAGAATATATATCTGAACTGCTGTCCCTGTACAAACCATTGTGCAAGCTGAGATCCTCTGGCACTGACCTACTGACTGTTCCCACCTCACACTTACAGACTAAAGGGGACTGAGCGGATGCAGAACAACCTGCCTGAGGAACTCTGGCATGCTAATCAATATCTACTATCTATTGACTGTACCTTACTCTTGATGTTGCACATAAGGCTTGCACTGCTCTACTTTAGTTCAAATTTGCCCACTGTTTACAATGTTACACATTTTTTCCCTTGGTATTTGATTCCCGTTGTTTTTTTTGTTGTTTTTTTTTGTTTTTTAAAATCATCCGTTGTTGTTACTCTTTTTTCCCCTTATGCTTGCCTGGTTAGTCAAACATTAACTAATGGTCTAGAGAGTGTTTTGTGCTGCACCTTTAAGTGTAAATAAACATGAATAAAATAAAATGGACTAATCTGTGCAAGTGAAATAACCTCTTCAACCCTAACAGACCCACCAGTGCACAGATAATTCCTAAACTCATGTTAGGCAGCAACGCACCAAAGTTTCAACTCACTAAAATTTCCCCAAAAAACAGCTAAGAAGTCAAGAGTTAATTATAAGGGAGTGTAAACACTGTAATGCACTTGGATGGATTATTGAATAGGCCCAGGGGCCTGAAGTGTCAGCCCCCCCCCGGTCATCACCTGCAAAATGTCACTCATATCAAAATGTACTGACGGGGTAAAAACTTAACATTACCACTACTGGGAAAACATGCAAAGGAACTGCAAAAAACAAAATGACTAAAAAAAGGCTCAAAATGACCACAAAGAGACACAAAGTAAATCCACAGAGACACAAAACAACCACAAGGAGACACAAAATGACCACAAGGAGATACAAAACAACCAAAAAAGACAAAATGACCACAAAGAGACACAAAATAACCCCAAAGAAACACAAAACAGCCACAAAGAGACACAAAACAACCACAAAGAGACACAAAACGACCACAAGGAAACACAAAACAACCACAAGGAGACACAAAAGGACCACAAGGAGACACAAAACAACCACAAGGAGACACAAAATGACACAAAGAGACACCAAACAACACAAAGAGACACAAAACGACCACAAAGAGACACAAAGCAACCACAAGGAGACACAAGACGACCACAAAGAGACACAAAGCAACCACAAGGAGATGCAAAACAATCACATAGAGACATAAGATGACACAAAGAAACACCAAATGACCTTGAGGAGACACAAAACAACCACAAAGAGACACAAAACAATCACAAAGAGACATTAAAGGACCAAAAAAGACCCAAAGGACCACAAGAAGACACAAAAGTACCACAAAGAGACACGAAACAACCAAAAAAGACACAAAATAACCACAAGTTGACACAAATGACCACAAGGAGACACAAAATGACACAAAGAGACACAAAATGACACCAAACGACACAAAGAGACACAAAACAGCATAAAGAGACACCAAAAGACACAAAGAGACACAAAACGGCTACAAAGAGACACCAAATGGCACAAAGAGGCACAAAACAACCACAAAGAGACACCAAATGACACAAAGAAACACAAAATAACCACAAAGAGACACAAAGCGACCACAAGGAAATGCAAAACAACCACAAAGACACAAAATGACCACAAAGAGACCCAAAACAACCACAAGGAGACAAAAACGACAACAAAGAGACACCAAACGACCACAAGGAGACACAAGGTGACCAAAAGAGACACAAAACAACTACAAAGAGACTCGAGGCAAAAAAGATAAAAGGTGCTAAACGTCTGTGTTACTCCTGTGTAGGAGAGGTGGTGGGGCCTTTTGCATATCTGTGCCCGGGGGCCTATTGTCTTAATATAATCCGCCCATGATTATGCACAACGTATTTCCCATATTTCCATATGGATGTGATGAACTGCTGGAGAAACCAAAACCTTAAAGTATGGCACACTGTTGTAAAGTAGGGAGTAGAAACATTTTCTCTAACTTTGTAGCCACTTTAGGAAAGTGTCGGAGTTCAGTTTGTTTCCATTAAAATGAGGAAGTACTTGTAAAGTGGAAGGAAAAAGAACAGCACTGCTGGAGAGACGTTGTCAGGATTACAAAACTACAACCACACTGACACAAACCACCATGGCATCAGAGACACAGCAGGCCCACAACCAGTCCTCATACTGGTATTTCCAGGTGTGTATCCCCAGTTTGAGCCCACAGGCAAATTAATGGAAAGTATTAAACTGCCACCAGGGCAGGACCCGACCGAGGCAAAGTGACGAAACCTGTTTGACTGAGAGACCGGTTGACGAAACGTACACCTTACTTCCGGCTGTCGCTTTATGAGATTAAACACAATTAAACCTCACAATAGAAACCAAATACAGCTGCAGTTTGGCGGCCTGACAAGGACAAACAGGCCTGCGTGTTAAAGGAAGTGGTGTAGAGTAGGTGTAGGTCCTAGCTTTAGCTACCTGTCAGCGACGACAGGTGCAACAGGTGAACAGCCTGACGTTATCTTTAGTCATGCGTAAAAAACAACACCCGCCAAACACTTACCATCTTGTTGCTGCGCCAGGAGCTATAAACGCTTTCTGGAGATTCAAAGACAATGACTTTAACCCTCACAAAGGGTCAGCTGGTGCGGCTGAACACATATCTGTCCGTCGTTGACTCCAGCAGTCAGTGTGAAAGTTGGTTAACTCCGCCCTGCTGGCCGCCGGAGGAGCGGTGCTTGCTGGACGCGTCACCACACCTCACAACCATCTGGATTGGCTACTGTGGGTTTGTGTTGCATGAACGCAGCCCATCACAGCCTCTAGAGATCTACCACGTGACTTTTGCACGGTGCATTTTAATGAATGAGCCGATAAAAGTTTAACTAATGTCACTTGACTGTCAGGGTTGAGTGTTTTTGAAGTGTTGTGTCCAAGGAGTGTCGGCAGAGAGCAGCAAGGGCTCCCTCTGTGTCTGCTTCATGTGATGCTGATCTGTCACAGTGGTTGACCAGGACTGGCAAACTGGGGCACATCTTGGGATTGGTGACATGTCTCTGTACCGAAATGCCATCTGGTTTTGGAATGGGATCCACCAATATACAAGGTCAGTCAACATATTTGGATCTGTCTTTGGAGAGATGTAAAGAATGTGCTTTCAGGGGATCCTTTGTCTGCTATATACCCTGAATTATTAGTCCTGCTTGTTGGCTGTCTAAATATAGGATTTAAGCCTGTAAAATGGTTTTCATGTCATGTATGTAAGCCTAAAGGCTGCTGAACAGAGGGCTGCCAAAGGTCTGATCACCGTATGGCACACATCACCACACAAACTGCCCTCTATGTGCTATTACAATACCTCTATTGACAGCTGATGTGTCTTGTGGGTGACATTCGCATCACCTGACTCCACTGAAACTAACCATAACATCCATGTCTAGTATTATACGGAGAGATGAAGTTATGTCCCTCCAAACTTTTTCATCAGAGAAGCATTTTTTTTTATCGATACCACTCCAATTAAGACGTTATTAAAACCAAAAAATCAAAAATAAGAATATCAGAGAAGTCAGTCAACCCTTTATTCAACTATTTATAAATGCATATACATCAGATACTAAACGAGGGGTCATCTCTCAACTCTTTAAATCTCTCCACAGTGTAAAAGTTTATTCGACAAAATATATAAAGGTCAGTTGGGAGAAGGAAGGAGACTTGATGATGAGAGATGAAGAATGGCAAGATATATGTGTATTTCAACAGACTATATCCCCCCAAAGTAAAAGGTATTGGCAAAATAATGGGTATATTACTGGCGGCAGGGACAAAGGCTCTGACCAGAAAATAGATGACGCATGTTGGTCCGACAATAAATGACTGGACAGATGTGACAGTGGAGATTTACATGATGGAAAGAGGTCACCTAAAGACGGACATTTTCATACAACTCTGGGAAAAATGGATGCGAAGTGTTAAACCTTTTAGACCGGACTTTGTTAGGATAATTCAACCATAACATTTTATTTATAAAGTTTTCATTTTAGCCTTTATCTCTACCTCTCTAGGTGTGTTTAGTTTTGTTAGAGCCCCTTTTTCATAGCCATCCTTTGGAAATGGACAAAAATAGAGTATGAGTCAATACAAGATTACAAAAACATTGCACATACTGATTTGTGTGTTTTCCATGTGCCTTCAGGAAAGGATATGAGGCAGCATGTAAAGACTTTGAGCCCAAAGACCTGGACGTGTCAGTTGTGGGACGGTCTTTTATGATCACTGGAGCCAACAGTGGGATCGGCAGGGCCACAGCCATGGCTATAGCCAAGAAAGGTAAGATACTAGAGAGGTGTTCTCTTTGCCGTTCATTTTATACTGACAGAAAATCTTTGGTGTGTTGTTTCCAGGTGGGACCGTCCACATGGTGTGTAGGAACAGGGACAAAGCAGAAGAGGCCAGGTCGGACATTGTCAATAAGTCTGGGAACACGGTGAGTGTTGTTCACCTTGAACACAGTGACAGATTCCATGATGTGTGAGGGAGAGGCTGATACTCATCTGGGTATTCTAGGAGGTGTACATCCATGTTGTGGACATGTCGGAGACATGCAAAGTCTGGGAGTTTGCAGAGGCATTCAGGAAGCAGCATTCATCCTTGAATGTGCTGGTAGGTGACTCCCGTCTCTTTTAAAGGTCCAGCGTGTAGGATGTAGGGGGATATACTGGCAGGAATGAAGTTTTAGTGTATAATCACCTGAAGATATAAAATTGCTGTGTTTTCCTTACCTTAAAAAGGAGCCGTTTATATCTACATACGTGGAAGGTCCTCATTTATGGAGATTGCCATGTTGCACCGCCATGTTTCAACAGTAGCCCAGATTAGACAAACCAAACATTGGGTCTAGATAAAGCGATTTGCATCCCCACCAAGTTGGAAGCCCATCTGTGATGCGCAGTGTCGGAAAAACACTGATTTGTTACATGAAACTGCTGTATTTAGTGCTTAACCAGTTAAAATCATGAGATCTGTTTGTTTTGAAAAGGAGGAGACCTCTGTAGGTAATTCGGCTCCTGGTAAAAACCTCCTGAACATCTTGATCTTATGTTATCAGAGAGAAAAGGTGACCACACATTAGCATGGTGGGCAAACCCCTCACCTCTGACATGCCAAATAGCGTCTGAGAAATGCTGATTTGTAATGTAAAACTGTTTTATACAGTGTTTTTACCAGTTTTAATCACCCTATCCATTTGTTCTGGAGAGGAAGAGACCTCTGTGGATAACTCAGCTCCTGGTAAAAACATCCCAAACAATGAACACTAAAGGAATCTAACCAGGAGAATTTACAGCTGGTTGCAATCTGCAGTCCTCACTGCTAGATGCCACTGAATCCACCTAAATCTTACACACTGAACATTTAATCCTCATCAAATATTTGTCTTCATAAACCAATGATGTTGCTGCTGTTTGATTTTACTTCTCCATCATTTCTTTCATGGCAGATAAATAATGCAGGGTGTATGGTGCACAAGAGAGAGCTGAATGCTGAGGGCCTGGAGAGGAACTTTGCTACCAACACTATGGGTGAGACCTCAGTCTGATGGTATAGTACTATACTGGAACAGAATAGAATAGAATCATGACTTTAGTAAGACATAAGTATTTCTATAAAATAATTTTGTGGTTTTGTTTAGAGTTTTTCCCTTTTTTGTTTTTGCTTACATACTTGCAAAAAATGTATGAAGAGTAATGATGTGAATGGTTATGACGCACAAACAGGATGTCTTTCTTTCACTAAATTACAGTGGCAAAAAACACAACAGTTTTATACGTGTGACTTTCCTCCATCTCTTTAGGGGTGTACATCCTCACCCAGAGTCTGATACCACTTATACAGAAGAGCCGGGATCCAAGGGTGGTATGAACACACACACACACACACACACACACACACCGACAAAGTGCTCATCTGCATCATGCAGACAGCATAAAGCCACTTTTGTCCACGGCTGTAATGGCTGTTGTCTCAGCACACTGTGCCTCTTTTCTCCCTGTCTGTTAGATCACTGTGTCCTCGGGCGGCATGCTGGTCCAGAAACTCCTAGTCGATGACTTGCAGTCAGAGAAGGGCAGCTTTGATGGTGTCATGGTCTACGCCCAGAACAAGGTAGGAGAGGAGAATGTCATCCAGGTTATAACACAACCTGTGTGTTTGAGTCCTTACTCAGCGACTTTATCCATCTCACTGGGTTTGGATTTGTGTGATGTGGCTGAACAGAATAAAAAAGATATAATATTGTCGTGCAAAACACATTTACAGAAGTAGTGACTGTAGAGGCATGTTTTTAAACTGAGGTGACAATGTGTTGTTTCTTCTCAGAGACAGCAGGTGGTGCTGACACAACAGTGGGCCAAAGCCAACCCAGTCATTCACTTCTCTGTGATGCATCCAGGCTGGGTCGATACACCAGGTACTGACTTATGAAAAAGCTTTTTAATGAACAGAAAATCACACACACACACACACACACACACACACACACACTGTGCCCTGTCTGTGACAACTGTGTGCTATGGTACATGTCTAAAGACCGAAGCTTTATCCATTTATTTTTTAATATAAAATTAAAAAGCAACCAAACCAGAGTTCACCAGACTGTTGTCCACCATCTTTAGACCTGGACAAGTAAATATACTGTTTGGCTGATAGTCAATAAGCAGACACACTGCACGCAGGAGGGCTGAATTGCTTAATCTTTTAATTTAGTCTTCATTTGAAATCTTACAAACAACGCCTTGAAGCAATTCAGTGTTGTTGTGTGCGCTGTATCTGCTTATTGACTATCACTCCTGTTTGGTTGCTTTGGAAATTAAATTCCCTAACACCCAGTGTGTGACTATACACCCTGTATTTGCGATCTGAATCCCATTTTCTGCATTTATTTTGGCACTATGGAAACAAAACAAAATAATTAAGGTGATCATGAAGCTAAATTCTGCCAGAATAATCCTAAATATGTTAAATATGTCACTCATTTGTGGCATTTTTTTAAGTATATCAGAGCAAAGTCAGCAGCTAAACTCACATTCTCAGCCAGAATCGGACAGCTGGCCCAACAGTTGCATGTTAAGCACGATTTTGTGTTAAAAAACAAGGTTTTGAAAGTGAATGCAATATCCGTCCAAAGTGGAAATGACACCTCGAGCTAAAGCAATAGCTGATATATGATTTTGAGCTATAACCGCCTGAGACTTTTGTTTGGTATGTATTTTTAATTTCTCCTAGCCATCTCCCAATCATTGCAAAATTCAAGTCCATCATCTCTCCTCAAGGCTTGACTACTGCAGTTCTCTGTGCCTTGGTGTTGGCCAGTCATCTTTGTCTCGCTCGCAGCTGGTGCAGAACGCTGCAGCGAGACTCCTCACTGGTGCCAGAGAAAGAGACAGTGCTAGCATTGTTACAACAGTGTTAGCATCCCTGCACTGGCTACCTATCAAATTAATCAAAGTATTTTGTTTTATCTTTTCATGTTTGTAGTTGTTCTTACTGGTTTTATTCTGTTTTATATTTGTGTACATTTTATGTGGCTATATATTTGTGTGTCATTCTTTTATTTTGTACAGCACCTTCGTCAACTGTCGTTGTGTTTAAATGGGCTATATAGATAAATTTGCTTTGATTTGATTTATTTGGGATCAGTAGGACCCGATCAGAATAAAAAACAAACATTTTCATTGATTATTAAGTCCCAATGTCCTCAAACGAGTACTTCCTAATTAATAGTGTGTGTTACTTTCGCTAAAATTGGTCAAATGTGTTGCCATATCAAACTGCAAACACTCTTAATCATAAATAAACACGTTCGAACCATAAAATGTGATCAGGTCTTGTCCACTTTTGTGTCGGTATCAGCTGCAGACTGACTTGGCAGAGATGGCTGCCATCTTGTTTTTACATGGATCAGTGTATTGTGCTCTTATGCCACTAGATGGCACAAAAAGTGTCCACGAACAAGGACGACAGGTTGTAGTTAAGAGGAATAAAGTATAAAGTCAAGTAAACCCAAAATTTGATGTCCCATATGAGGACACAGGGTCTCAGGAGGATAATACGGGACATGAGGTAGATGCCAATTTTCATATCAATCTCTCTGTATCTTCAGTTCCATTTGCTTGATTAGAAAGAGATAACTCTTTGGCTGCTCTTGGGTAAATATATAAATCCAGTGTACACACACACACACACACACACTACTAATCCTGGCTGATTTTTTCCATTTCCAGCTGTCTCCACATCAATGCCTCAGTTCCACCACATGATGGGTGACAGGCTGCGCAGCGTAGAGCAAGGAGCCGACACCGTCGTGTGGTTGGCCTTGTCTAGAGCTGCTGCCAGAACACGCAGCGGGCAGTTCTTTCAAGGTGAGCAGCATGAAGTGTGACAGGTTCTTCCACGACACACACACACACACACACACACACACACACACACAGATGCTCCTTTCATTTGTTTTCAGTCTTCTTATGTGAATTCTGACAGTAGGCACTGTTTGTGTTGCAGATCGTAAACCTGTTCCTGTCCACCTGCCTCTGGCCTGGACTTACAGCTCTGCTGAAGAGATCCAGAGTTTCATGACTCAGCTGGAAACTTTGGCCAGAGCCATTCAGTCACAGCCTGACGTAGAGCTTAACGGTCCCTCCAGACCTCAGTTTGTCTGAAAGCTGATTCAAATGTTAAACCATACGTAACCCATTAAAGCATTAGTTACAATAACATCAGCTCCTGGAAAACAAACCACAGTTGTCATGCTTAGTCTTGTTTGTCTAATTCTACACAGCCATATTTTCAGGATGGCTCATAACTCAGTGATGACATTTGTGATGTCATCATGTGGTAATGTCTGCATGGAATATGTCAGGCTCTATTGACTTAAAGACAAAGGTCATTGATTTAGACTGAATATCTCATTAGCAGTTACTGAACACAAAACATGCCTGTCTATTATCTGTATCAGTGGCTCCAAAACTTATTCCTTCAGAGAGGCCTTTTCTATCACTGAGTAAACTGACCTCTCACTATATTAAAGATATTTCACATTATATTCACTGTAACAATAACAGCACAGAACAACTGATAAACTGTACAATTACCTTAAATAGTGAACGCAATACCTACAGGAAGAACTTTGGGCTGATCATTTCCTGTGAATATTGCATCAGAAAATGAGTTTTCATGTTTTGTTTTGGGAACTTTTTGCACAATTCTTTTTCTGTAATATGTATTTTAAATTTTTTTAACAACTATACATACTTAAAAGGCTTTATTTATGGAGAAATTCAGGGGTTTCTTCCATAATGTGGGACGAGGATGTGTGAATATAGCTTGCATTCGGGTCTTCAGTGCACCCTTTTCCTGTGAGATCTTTTTGAGTTTGTAGCTTGAATAATAATCTAAACTTTAAAAAATGTCAATTTCTTTCAGTTTTCTTCAAAGAAATGAATGACGTGCTAAGATACGGGCATACTGTGTGGTTTAACACAGTGGTTCCTAAACGGTGGGTCACAGGTTAATTCTGAATGGATCCGCAAGTGACTCTGAAACATGTCAAGTTTGTGAAAAACACTTTATTTTCAAGTACAGTGAATTTCTGGCACAGAGCTTTTATTTTGAAGTGCTGTTTCTTGCTGTAGAGTGAGTGACGAACAGCAAACTAGCTTAACGACATGGCCAAATGCAAGTGTGACATTAACTGTAATAAACTGTGGACTTGAACTAATGACTAAGAGGAAATCTGGACCCTGGGGCTGGACCAGTTGGGAACCACTGGTTTTAAACAAGTTTTCTAATAACCCTTAAAATCAGGAAGGCCTCGAAACACCCCGTGAAGCTTTGGTGACCCCTAGTGGAGGCTGGGATCCCAGGTTTCAAGCCAGTGATATGGATCAGTGGTTCTCAATCATTCTCAAAAGTGATACACAGGTCACAGAACCCTGTGTGACCTCCCTCTGAAAAGATTTTGGTCGTCAGATATGATTAAAACCTGAATTCTGTAGTTTTCAAAGATAGCTGATAGGCGTGCACAAAGTGAGTCCTGTAATCAGACTTGTCACTGATATGCCTCTTACTTATACCAGTCTCACTTTTATAGTGTATTAAATAGTGAAAATAAACCGTTAACTATTTTTCTGGGGACACTCAGAACTCCCCAAGAGGACCCCTGATTGAGAACCACCAATCTAGATAATGATCCCCTTTGAAGTTGTTCAATAATTGCAGTGTTAATAATGGGACATTTAAAGCCCAGTCTGATGGATGTAATGTGGCATCAGTCATCTGCTCCTGTTCAGATTTCTCAGTCCTCACAAGGAGCCGATTTGGGCTCAAAATATTGTGTATTTCTTTATATAACAAACTGGAGCAGATACCACTGTTGTGAGCATTTTGGGAGATAAAATTCAGTTGATTCTTTGGACTCAGAAAAAGGTCGGAACAGATGTTTTCATACTGACTGCAGTGTGAGATAACAATGAGGTTATGTAAGAGTCAAATGTAGAAGATCAGCAGAGCATTTCTGTGAGAAACTACAGAGCATCAATACTCATTATTTTTATTTTCCTTTTGTAACAATCCACATTTGCTGTTTTTAATAATTTTATTTTTTTTATACAGTATTGAAACAAAAAATAATAATAATGTGGTGCATTCACATTTTTCCCAAGGGATTCTTTGCAAGTTTGATCTCTACAAGGGTAAAACAGTGAAAAGCTTGAAGCTGGATCCATCCATGTTAAAACTCACAGGGAAGAGGAAGACTGTGCCTGATTTAAAAATCATCTACAAGTTTTGATGGATTCTTTTTTTTTCTCTGCGCCGACATTTCATTCCCCATTTTACGTGTGTTTACTGTGTTTTTGTACGGGAGGATTAATCAGGTTCCCAGCATTTGTCTTTAAAAGAAACTTCCAGTCCATGCGTAACAACAGTCCAAAGAAAACAAACAAATCCCCCCACCCCCAATCCAGTCTCTTCTTCCTCCCATCCACAGTTCATCTTTTATGCAACGTAGGTGTACACTTTGCGATCTTCCGGTGTCCTTGCCAAGTATTCTCTTTCTATTAGTCCTTCTATACGCTTTTTAATTACGACAGGACTCGGAAGAAAACGTGCCCGGAGCTGCTGAGTTACCTGAAAACACAAGGTCACAAAGTGTATGAAAACGTGAGAACATGGAGTCACAATAAAATATTAAGAAGAGTTATGCCAGTTATTTAAGTGAAACAGACCAAACTGTGTATTCTAATAGGAAGCTCCTTACCTCCGCCACCAGGACATTGTGCTGCATCTTCTTCCTTGACTTCATGATTCGGACAATGGCTGCCTCAATCTCATGCTTCCTGTCGTCATCCACTTTCTGCCGTGTCTCTTTCCTTTCGGGGTCTGATTCCCCTTGTTTAGCAGCAACTGGGAAAGTAGGAGAAACGGACAAGATGAGGTTCGGGGAGAAAATGGAGAAGATCACTCAAGGTATGGTTTTGCATAAGCAGAAAGGAAGAGTCCCAGCCCACTGCCATGTCACAAAGCCATGTTTCTGAAAGGTTGAATAATGATACTGTGGTACTGTAATAATGTTCTGAGCTAAATGTTTATCTGTTACTGTACACAATGTACTTAAAATGCTAATAAATACTTAGATTTGATTAAAAAGGGTTAGAAATGAAACCTCTTCAATAACACAGCACAATGTGTTGGACAGAAGCTGCACCAGGTGACTGTATGTGTTGTTCACAAACTTTGCCCACCTGTCTGTATTTTGACTCTGTGCAGTTTAGAAGTAAACTGATCGTTAACTGTAAACACATGGCCGCTCTCGATCTCCTTAGACTTTGGCTCCTTGGTGAGAACTCTCTGCGTCGGCTTCCCACAGGCCAACGACTGCAACGCTCGCACTAACTCCCGCTCAGGAATATCTGTCTCCTGCTGGATCTCCTGTGGACGGGGACAGAATGGGTGACGTGGTTGTGAACGGGGAAGGACATGGATGCAAACAAGTCATACAGTGAGCAGAAATGATCTCTACACAGACTAAAAGATCGAATGGGAAGATGAGGTTAAAGATAAAGGTGCTTCACTGTGTCCCCACCTCGAAAGTGCACTTTTCTCTGTTATTGAAGAGCATGAGAATGGTCATCTGAAAGGTGGAGACCTGCAATATGTGCTTCCGTGTGTTTGAGCCAGTCACCTGAGCACCTCCCACACCCACCTCTGAACCATCCTCCTGCAGATGAAGTAGAAAGGATGGTGAAACGCCATACTTTGGAATTATAGTGAACAACATTGTATCTTGATTTATGTGATTTATAATAAAAAAAGCAAATGGCGTTTTATAAATACCTTTTTAATAGCTCCATAGAAAGTTGCGTTTAGGTCTGCCCCGCCCATATGGTGTTGCAGTGTGAGCTGTCTACCACTGTGCTTAGCGAGGTAAAACCTGTTCAAATAAAAGCCAGGACTAAGTTCTTTAGAAACGACACAGAACAACACTGAGCCTTCCTGTTAGAGGTGTCATGATTCTGACTCTAAATTGAATATCAATCGAAGTGGGCTTTCAATTGCAATTATTGAAATCAAAAGCAGGATTTGCGATGAATCATTTCATGTTTTTACATTTTAAATACATTATTCAAATTTGAACATATGGCCTTAGTGTTGTACATTCCCAAAACTATAGCAGTTATATCACACTTGATACCATGTAGCCTGTCCTTTTAAAGATACTGAACATGTAAATGACTGCTGTTGGGGCATAAAACTAACAATCTGTTGATCTTAAAGCCCAGTTCAGACCGAAGATTTGTGATGAGATGCCGGTTCACACGAATGCAACTAGATGAGACAGTGTATCTTCTCTATGCAACAACTCTCTGTATTTCTGTTCTGATTTGCAGCTTTTCAGACTTATTTTGTGGCTGAATATAATTTGTAGCTTCTTAAAATATGAATGAGTATAGTGATAGTGAGACACTGGCTACAGCTGCATTTGTAGTAGAGATGAAACGGTGAAAAACAGAAAAAACAAGCATCAGATGAACTGTATTCATGATAAATACGCCACAGTAATATAAACAACCACGTAAGGATGGAAACAGAGGGCTCGGCAAGGACAGAGCACCTGCCTCAGCAAGCGGACACGCCATCTGTGGTTATTTTGCCTTCACACTACAAGCTGATTGGCTGTAGAAACAGGTGACGTGCTTTACGCTCTAAAACCAGCTGACGGTGATTTGACCAGTGGAGTTGCAGGTGACACCATCAGCCAGCTCGAGTTGAGCTCAGATGGGTCAGTTCACACCGCTGCAACTTTTCTCTGCAACATTCTAAAACGGTTTTTTCTTGTTGCTAATCTGTGGTCTGAACTGGCCTTTAGAAATCAAAACTCGATAGTCTAACAACGGCATAGTGGCATAGACTTTGGTGCAGAAGAAAAAAAAGTTTAAACTCGAAAACTGAATCGAATTGTGACCTTAAATTCTCAAGTCAAATCAAGTCATGGATTAGGAGAATTATGACACCTCTGCTCCCTGTGTATAGTAAACCACTTGACTGAATTTCAGAGCATTACCTTCTGAAGACTTCAAAGGCGTGTCTGGGAGAGGGGGGGATGGTGCATTTAGGTGTTGCCGACTGTGTGGGCCAGTAGCCAGTAGTGAGGACTCTTACTGTGAGGTCCACACCACTTAGAGATGCCTGAGAGAGATGCACGGAAGTTTCTTTCAATATACACTTTGAGTTGACATGACTGAACAGTTATTACATCTCCATATCAGAATAACAGTTACACAATACAATACTTGCAATCCTGTGTTTTAAACGTTCTTCTATAAACATGTGGATCGTGTGTTGAACTTAACGTGTCCCTTGTGAAGAATTATTAGTGTTTTGCTTCTCTGAAAAGGCGTCTGACTGTCTTACCGACGTGGTTTGTATGTGTTGCCTGAACTCATCCATGGTGGTGTTGGAGATGCTCATGTCCCTGAACATCCCTTCCAGTTTGGAGGTGAACTGACAGCCACATTCTGTCTGTGAAGGGGAAAGAACAGTGAGCTGAAACTGCTGATGGGGGTTTAGACAGAGTGAAATGGGGAACAGGAGAAGAGATATGCATACGTATCTGTAAAACTTTCTCTTTTTTTTTTTTACCTTCAGCTTAGAGATCATGTTCTTCTCTGAGTCGTCTGACACACTCTTGTTGCTGAGCAGCCTGCGGCCCAGGTGCTGCTTGTAGTACCTTTCAAACACATCCTTCTCCTGCATGAACCGGAATAACACCATGGCCTTGTCGAGGATCGACTCGACCTCCTGTTCTGTCAACTGGTCAAACGAGACAGGGAGAAAAATAATGAGCCAATGT